ACACACACAATTTCAAAACATTTCCAAACAACTTTCAAACATTGAAACATTTTTCAAAAGACAAACATCTTTGTATACATTCTTACAAACAAGAATCATTACAAAGATTGCATAAACAAAGGCCTCTTTTCAAAATACTTTCAAAACCACACAAAGCACCATTTCAAACAATTGAAAAGCAAAAGCAAGTGATCTAAACAAGTAACTAAGAGCCCATGGAAAACCATGGATGAAAAGGGTGCTAGTACCTTCCCTTTTAATAATCTACCCACCGAACTCAAGAAAACATCTCAAAGGTCTTTCCTGTGCTTTTTGACCTTTCCTTTGGATAAAATAAAAAGTCGGTGGCGACTCTTGCTAAACCGAAACATTTGCGAACACAAACGCAAAACCTCAAGTCAGTTCTCCCACTGTATCATAATGAGGAACTTAAGAATATGTTTTCCAGTCATGCGTATTCTGGGTATGACTCAATTGAGTTGTACATTGTGCTTCGGGAGCCTCAACTGTCACGACCAACTCAGTCACAAGTGGTTGATTCTCTCGAAAACGAACAAGTAAAAGTAGATGGCATTGACGAAGAAGAGGAAGATAACAAGTTAGAGTTTGATGACATGGTCAACGATGATTCTGAAGACGATGGGATACTTGGAATACCTCCGAATGAGATCTACACACCACCTCCACACATGACAAACTTCAACATGGGCGGAGATGAACTATCATCTGATATTTTTTTCAATCCGTATATGCAGTCGGATGAAAAATTATAAGAGAAAGACAAATTTCATGATAGAGAAGATTATATCTGAGCCATAAAAAATTTTCACATGCTAAACTCAGTCGATTTTAAGATAGATCGTGTAAATCAAGAAAGGTACAAGCTCAGGTGTGTTCACCCAGATTGTATATTCAGGCTCACTGCATCATACAGGTTAAGAGGTGATTGTTGGGTGATAGGTTCTATGTCTACCCACACGTGCGTCAATTCTACTCAATCACAGAATCATCAGAAACTAAATTATGATCTCATATGTCAAGAAATTATACCTCTCGTCAGCAATGATCCGTCATTGGAGGTGAAAACCATAATCTCTCACATCACTACGGTATATAACTATACTCCGTCATACCGAAAGGCGTGGTTAGCAAAGACCAAGGCGATTGAAAAGGTATATGGAAACTGGGAGGAGTCATATAAAGAACTTCCACGCTACCTGCATGCACTTCAGATGTATTATTCGAGAACTATTTATATTATGGAAACATTGTCGGCGTACGCCTCAGATGGTACTCATGTCACCGGAAATGGAATATTCAGTCGATTGTTTTGGGCTTCTCAACCTTGCATCATAGGGTTTGCGTCATGTAAACCTAAATTGATGGAACTTGGTTGTACAGAAAATACAAAGGCACACTACTGATGGCAGTTGCACAAGATGGCAACAATAACATTTTGTCAATTGCCTTTGCTCTAGTCGAGGGAGAGACTGGTGGTGCTTAGAGTTTCTTTCTCAGGAATCTCCGAACACACGTGGCTCCTCAACCTGATCTATGTTTGATCTCTAACAGGCATGCATCTATTGAGAGTGCATACAATAATCTTGCAAATAGTTGGCATGACCCTCCTTCTACGTATGTCTACCGCATTAGACATATCATATAAAATTTCACGAGGGAGATCAAAGACAAGGCTCTTAGGAAAACAGTTATGAACGCGGGGTATGCATTAACACAACCTACATTCAAACACTATCGCAACGAGATCATATTGTCAAATTTGGACACAGGTAGGTGGATCAATAATATTCCAGTGGAGAAATGGACAAGGTCATACGACAATGGACAACGATGGAGACACATGACAACAAATCTTATTGAATCCATGAATGGTGTATTCAAAGGCATACGAAACCTCCCAGTAACCGCTTTGGTTAAATCAACATATTTTAGGATGGCTTCGTTGTTTGCCAAAAGAGGTGAAATATGGAATGCGGTCTTACAATCGAGACAACTATGGAGTGAAAGTTGCATGAAGTATATTGAGGTAGAAAGTGAAAAAGCTAACACCCATCTGGTTATAAGGTTCGACCGACACATCCACAACTTCATTGTCAAAGAGAAAGTCAACCACAATGAGGGGCTGCCAAGACAAGAGTATATGGTTATACTACCATCTCGTTGGTGCGATTGTGGCAAGTTTCAAGCCTTTCGTATGCCTTGCTCTCATGTCATTACGGCATATGCGTATACTCATCAAGACGCATTACAACTTCTATCTCCCATTTACAAGTTCGAAACCTTTCTCGACGTATACAATAATGGCTTCCCATTGATAGTAACCTGATTATTGGCCTGCATACGACGGGGAAATAGTATGGCACAACGATCAAATGCGAAGGAATAAAAAAGGTCGTCCCAAAAGCAAGCGTATCACAAATGAAATGGACTCCCTTGACAAGCTAGAAAGAAAGTGTGGTTTATGTCGTCAGGTCGGACACAATCGAAAAAATTGTCCCACTCGGGCTACAAGCTCGACAACATAAAAATTGTATGCAAACCATCTGCACTTTTTAAAGTTCTAAACATTATTGTTTTTCATTAAGAGCATTTGTTATAACAAACCATACGCTAACAACAAATAAAAACATGATAAAACGTCTAAGAAATTACAACCGTCAAAATAATTTCATCTGAGTCATGCATCATCACCATTACGTCTCCGTCTATTTTGACTTCCTCCAACTAAAAATTAAGTCTTTCAGTTGCAACTGAGGTGATTGTTCTTCTTCTCTAGATCCTTCTAATTTGTTCCCCAGCCTCGATGTCTCCCTCTAGCCATCACATAAACTCTCTCTTCAGACGCTCCATGGAGTGAATGTGTCAGAATTTCATTTTCATTGGAGGTCTGGTGGCGGAGAAAATAACGTATTCATCTCTGGTGAAAATCATGGGAGATGTCATGACGCAAATAACAGAGAAAAAATAAGAAGACAGTATGAGAAAGTGTGAAGAATGACAGAGAAATGGGTGATTTATTTATAGAAAATACAATTGCACGTAGTAGCCAGGTGAGATGACGCTTCCTCTCCTTTTTATAGTGTATGCGCCATCTCACTTGACTAAAATAGAATGCATACGCCAAGTGAGATGGTGCCTAGGACAAAATGGTGAGTGCATGCGCCATCCCACTTGACTCATTCATTGTGAGATTTTATAAAATATGATTATTTGCATAATTTTCTCCGAAACATGATTATTTATATATATTTTTTTCAATACTTGATTATTATTATAAAAAAATTCAAGTCTTTTACTCGAAATTTAGTCTTACGGCCAATTTGTTTTCTTTTTAAATGAAATCGATTCCTATCAAATCACTTAAACATTCAAGATATCTAATAGAAAAAAAAAATTCTATACGAAAGCTACAACTTTTGATATAAAAAAAAGTATTTTTCTCAATTTAAAGAAAAAGACAATTAGCATTAAGAGATTGGAACAAAAGAAATACACTCAATCAAGATTAAGAGATAAGGGCACATGTCCATTTCTATCTTTACAAAAAGTAGTTAATGTCGTGTGAAGTAGACTAGACTAGACACTAGGAAAATTGGAGGGCATGTATCCATCTTTTGAGACACATGCATATGGCCACTTCCCATTTCTACTGTATAATAACAGTAAATGCAGAGAGTTCAATAGGATATAATTTTTTTAATAAAAATTAATAATATCTTTTTTAATATTATACTATTTTCTAATTTTCTAATTTTTCTTTTTAAATTTACTTTTTTAAACTTCTCATTATACAAAAAAATATTTTGAAACAGAAATTAAATATGTGGTAGAATTATATTGTGGTCAACATTATATTGAAAAAATAATATTTGAAAATTTCATGTAGGTGTAAAAAAATACGGTATTATTATTTTATACATTTATCAAATATGCATTATTCTCCACATATTTGAAAAACTCGTATTTTGTCTTAATCTCTAAATATTTATAATGTTAATTTTTTTTATTCTTGTTTCTTTTATTTATAAAAAACTTAAATGTGCGAAATACCTGATAAATTTGAGAATTTTACGGAGGTGACATTCTTTGAATTTTTCAAAAATGTCACTTTATTTTTTAAAATATCAATCATATTATCTTCGAAAAGCATCCATGATAGTAAGGAAATAGAAATCATACCCATAGATTGTCACTCTTGTCAAGTCTGGAATATTGGAGTGATTATATTGTTGAGATTGGTTGAAAATATATATATTGAAAAAGTCTTATATTATTTATTTTTGTATAGAAAGAGAGAGTTCAAAGCTATATATATATATATATATATATATATATATATATATATATATATATATATATATATATATATATATATATATATATATATATATATATATATATAATTAAAAAAAATTTAAGTCGCACATCGTTTAATTTATTAAATGAAAAGGGAGTCTAAGACTATATATATGATTCAAATTTCTTTTAAGATGCATTAGTCAAAAATACTTTAAATTTGTATTTGACTTTTTATTTTCTCTTATATTCTTGTTTTAGACTGTTGTGAGAGGTAGTTAAATATTTGTTTTGGAGAGTGTGAGTGTATTGGGGCTTTTGAGGTGTTTGAGGGTAGTTTATGTGTTGTAGCAATTTTCACATAGTGATATTCTCTGGTTGTCATTTGACAACACTCATGATTTTTTCTCCGGTTTTGGAGTTTCCACGTTAATCTCTTGTGTTATTTTGTTCCTCTTTTTTCTCTATGTTTTGTTTTTTCCCAACAAGTGGTATCTGAGCTTTTGGTTCGATCTGAGGATAGGAGTTCTTAGTACGTTCTGTGGTCGCAACTTTGTATGATCTTCCACATCAGAAAAGAAGGATGGTGTTGTGAAAGAGTTGTTGAGTTGTAGTCACAAATTCTGCTATGCAGTTTGGGCTAGAGAAAATTTTGGTTTGCTGCAGAAAAAGTTTTGGTTGCAATGTCAAGTTTTTCAAGTGCAATGAAGATTGAGTTAGAGAAATTTGATGGAAGAATCAATTTTGGCTTGTGGAAAATTTAAGTCCAAGATGCTTTGATATAATTAGGATTACACAAGGTGTTGAAAGGAAACATTTCCAAAATAGACAACGAGAAGCGGGAGGAATTAGATTTGAGAGCTTCGAGCATAATCTGCATGCCATTAGCTAAGAATATTCTTGCGAATGTTCTTGGTACGTCGTCAACCAAAGAGCTTTCGGAGAAACTTGAAGGGCTATATCAAGGAAAGGGTATATCAAATCGTTTATTATTGAAGGAGCAATTTCATAGCTTGCGTGTGGATGAACATACAAAAATATCTGATCATCTAAGTGTTTTAAATGGTATTGTTTTCGAATTATAAACTATTGGAGTCAAGATTGATGATGAAGATAAAGTTTTGAAACTCATATGGTCTCTTCCATCTTCCTATGAGCATATTAAACCTGTTTTGATATATAGGAAAGAAACTTTGAGTTTTGAAGAAGTTGCTAGTAAAATTATTTCTGAAGAAAGAAGATTGAAAGGTGAGGATAATACTTTATCAAACTCGGTATTGGTTGCTAGAGGAAGGCCTTATGTGAAGAAAAAAATGAAACGGGTGAGAGATGTTGCAAATGTGGAAATATTGGACATATAAAGTATAAGTGTATTGATGGAGCAGTGTCAGATAAGGGCTCTGATTCAAATGCTAGTAATATCTTTCTCGCTGTGATAGAGGATGATCTTATATGAAAATTGAGAAGTGTATCCTCATGACATTTCTGTTGTTATGGAAAAGGACATGTTATTGCTAGTGGATTAACACATGGGCATTGATGCAAAGTGTATTGTGAGATTATGTCGATGGTTGAAGAGCTTCCTACCAACATCGAAGTTACACCATAAAGTTTCAACTTGGTTTTCGGCATGTGAAAATTCTTGATGTGGTTTAGCTTTAAGTGAAGTATACTCTTCTTTAGGTGGAGTATGATAGTTTTTAAATCTATGATTGTCGGTGAAGACAAAGTGAAAATTTTTGGAGTGGTGTAGCTTCAAGTGACTATACTCTTTATGGTGGAGTATGATTGTCGGTGAAATTTTATGTATTATTTTCAATCAAGGTGGAGACTATTGGGGTTGGTTGAAAATATACATTTTGAAGAAGTCCCACATCGCTTATTTTTGAGAAGGAAGATGGAGTATAAAGCTATATATAGAAATAAATCTTTTCTAAGTCCCACATCATTTAGTTTATTGAATGAAAAGGGAGTCCAAGACTATATATAGGATTCAAGTTCTTCGTTCTAAGATACACCAGTCAAAAACACTTTAAGCTTGTATTTGACTTTTTATTTTTTTTATTAACTCTTGTTTTAGAGTGTTGTGAGAGGTCGTTAAATATTTGCTTTAGATAGTATGGGTGTATCAGAGCCTTGGGGTGTTTGACGGTATTCTATGTGTTGTAACAATTTTTACATAGTGATATTCTCTGGTTGTTATTTGACAACGATCGTGATTTTTTCTCCGGATTTGGAGTTTCACATTAATCTCTTGTGTTGTTATTTTGTTCCTCTTTTTTCTCTATATTTTGTTTTTTCCCAACACATATTAAAATGCTTTATTAGAATTATGTCAAACAAACTTCACCATGTGTTATTTTCCTAGTATAAAATGATTAGAAAATTCCAGATTGCTTAATTTCTAAATTCCTAGCAAACTTTATTTTTCTAACTCAATCAAACCTGTTTCACTAACATTCACCAATCTCAAATGCTATACCTTGGTTTTGTCTTAAAAATATTGACTAGCTAATGATGCATATTTTAGTGCAATAAACTAAGTTATCGAACATTAGGTATAAAGAACTCACATTAGATATAAGGAATTCATGTTCATCGAACATTTAAGTCTAATTGTACCAATACCATAGATCTTGCAAGCCTTATTGTTACTGACCGGACAAATCCACCTTCTTTTAGTTCCAAAGTCTCAAAATATTCTTTCCTAAGAGAATTTGATAAGAGCAACGTGAGTCTACAACCTCACTCTTCTTTGTCTACAAACTTGTCACCACTAGTGAACCAACACTCTCATAACTATCCTCATATGAGGCAACTACAAAATATAAATATAATCACCCTTGCTCCCCACTCGGGATATATCTTCTTGAAATGACCAATTTTATGACAAGTGGGAATTTTAACTTTGACTAATCAAAACCCATGAACTTGGACTTTGACTTATCTTCCTCATTTGGTATCCTTTACTCTCACTCATTCAACTTGAAAAACTCAAGCATTCACCAATATCGCCAACCTTTAAATCTTTTATCTTTGATAGCTCATTCGACCTTATAGTCGGTCAAACTTCAAAGGTGATAATGTTGTTATATCTTATTTACGTTATTTTATAGGCAACATGTGTATCAATATGTCACAATATTGTGTGAGATATTCGGTCTCCATCTGCTCGAACAAGGAAGCAACATGTAGATCATAATGTTCCCTAAACTGTGAGACATTTTGTCCCATCCAAAAATTTCTACATGCTAAGTGAATCTCGTGCTAATTGAAGATTTGTTTCTATACTTATCTAATCATGTTTAATATTTTATACACTTTTTGGAATAATAAATTTTTCCCAAAATATCATTGCATTAAGATTAAAATAGACTAATTTTGATATGATCAATATTTAACCAATCAATCATTGCCAATCAACATAATGAATAATTGGTTTCTTGCGCTTTTGGAATTGTTCAGCCACGTTCAAAGACGAATATATAATAGTTAAAAATTGATTGTTATAGTTAAAAATTCAATATTTTTATTCATTGGAGAGACCACACAATTGATTGTCAAAATAGCCACAATCCATTCTCACTTACTTTGAAAAATCTTCATCTTAGTCTTCATCTGATTGATACATATTCAATTGATTCTTTTCATGAAATCATTTCATAATATTGCATCAATTTTCAAGAGGTATCATTTTGTTTGATTTTTCAAAAACACCTCTTTCCTAGAAAATATTTTATTTTGTTCATAATTTTTAACATAAAATTTTGTGTGCATAACTTTCACATTGCTCAAAAGTTTCTAAGTCATTGAGCACTTAAATATATCAATGATTATAAACTGTTACGGGAAAGGGAAGAACATATGTTTCATAATATCAAAAAATCAACAAATCTCTCAAAGTTATTAAAGCCTGCCGCAAAGTCTACATGTACAAAAATTATTTGTGTACTGTAATTTTTAACCAAATTGAGTGATGATTTTTGTATGTAAGAAAATGGTTGTATTTTCTACAAAAGTTTACAAATATGAAGGATTGTCTTACTATTTGTTGAAAAAGGTCATTTGAATCAGGTTGATTCAAAGTCCACCAGATTGTTGGTGTTTTGGTTGAAATCAAGGAAGTGTCATAGCTTCTTTGTTATTCTTAGAAGATTGTAGGAGAGTATTTTGTAGGTTGTACAAAGATCTGATAATATTGGATAATCTCTAACGGGGAGTGAGAGGACTGAACTACTCTTGGTTAGATAATGGGAACCAAGATATATCTATGTTTTTTATTTTTACTGCACTTTATTATCTGTTAACTTTATCACATCTCTCATAACCAGAAAATAAACAAGTAAAGTGTCACAAAATCCATAAATTTCCATTAACAAAAAAATGGATAATTTCACAAAACATAATTTACCCCCTCTTAGGTTGCGCACTCAATACTTACAATTGGCATCAAACAGGTCGTAGGTAATCTATTCCTAAAGATTAAAAAATGGCTTCTAGAAATCCGGTTTTTAGAGACGTTGGTAGCAATAATAAGCCTTCATTGCTTTGTGGTGAATACTTTGATATTTGGAAAACTCGTATGAAGGCAAATCTCGAAACACCAGGAGAATAAATTTAGAGATGTTATAAAAAATGGTCTATTTGTTCCCATAAGTGTTGTCAACGGTGTTGGTACACCAAAAATCAAAAGTTCATGGGATAAAGATGATAAGAAAAAGTTTCTTTATAACAAGAAAGCGATAACTTTACTTCAAGCATCCATAAGCATGGATGAATTCTTCTAAGTCTCTCAATGCACAACGATAAAGGAAATATGGGATAAATTAGTAGTCAATCATGAAAGAAGATCTAAAGTACAAAGATATTGATTGAATATTTAAAGTCAAGAGTATGAATTATTCAGAATGCAGCCCTGAGAATTAATTCTTGACTTGTAGAAAAAAGATTTGTGCACTTGACTAATCACTTGATCACACTTGGTAAGAATTTTACTAGCGAGGAACTTAATCTTAAAGTGCTTAGCTCTTTGACTAGGGCATGGCAATCAAAAGTAACGACAATATTGGAAAAGAATAGTATATCTAATATGACATCCGCAATATTGTTCGGAAAACTCCAAGAGCATGGAATATAACTTGAAATATTGGAGAAGCATGAAATTCAAGTAAAAGATTCAAAAGACATTTCCTTAAAAAAGAGAGTTAAAAATCATGATAGCATTCAAGAGGATGATTCCACTAATAATGAAGATGATGATCTTATCAAAAGGTTTGAAAAGTTCTTAAGAAAAGAAAGGAAAAAGGAGATCATTAAAAAGAAAGCACCAACAAAGAAGGTTGCATGTTTTAAATATGGAGAAAGAGGACATATTAAAAGTGATTGCTCTACACTTGAAAATAAGAATAAATACTTCAAAAGAAATATGTACAAAAGACAAAAGAAAGAATATGTAGCGTGATATGATAATGAAATAAGTTCATCTTCAGATGAAGATCATGCAAACAAGACATTGATGGCATCATATTATTCAAGTGATGAAGAACATGAGGTTAGTGATTTCAAAATTGATGTTAGACCTTCATATGATGAATTACAAAGTGCTTTTAATGAACTACATGATTGATTTTTTAAACTCTCTAGAAAATTTTCAAAACAAAAGAAAACTATTTTGAATCTAGAAAGTGAAGCTAGTAACATAAAAAAGGAGTTAGACTTAATAAAAAATTAAGCATGCAATAATTGTTCATCTCTTGAGTTAAACATTATGAAATTAAACCAAGTCATTACCAAATATGAAAAAGGGGAAATTGACTTGGGTAATGTGTTGAGTAGTCAAAGATTTTCAAATGATAAATGTGGACTTGCCTTTTCTAATTTTGATATGAAACAACCGACTGAACAATCAACTGATAATGAAGATCAATGAAGTCGCCATCGAGCGTTTTTTATCCCACATGAAGGGAAAGGTAAACATCGAGTAAACCTAAGAAGGGTGAAATCAAGGTCGAACGACTAAAAGATAAGGGTAAGGGAGTCTGTTACGCGAGGGGAAGGTATTAGCACCTCACACACCGGTAGTACTCTACGGTATCCACTCTTGTTGTCTATCTTATGGGTGTGTACAATCTATGTTTACTGTTTATTACTGCTAAAGGGAGAATGCATGCAAAAGAAAGGGGAAAAAGAATGTAGGGAAAATAAAATTGTTGTGCTCGTTCGGGCCCTACCCTAATGCCTACGTATCCCTTTTAAGGAATCAGAGAAGCCGTAGTTCAGCTGATATGTTTTTGTTTGTTTGTATTTTTTTAATGAACAACATTAATTTCGCCTTTTGCCGCAACTCGACCTTTGGAGATTT